AGAAGTGGGGTTAGGGCTTTAAAAAGGGGGAGAACCCCAGGGATAAAAGTGGGATTTCAGTGACCTTGTTATGCATAATACTTATAATAATGGTTTATACTTCTTCATTGTTTGAGACTACTTCTACATTGGATATTTAGATCCAAATAGTTTAGATTACTTCTAAATTGGATATTTAAGTCAAGGACTTACAGCATGTGCTGATGAATGTATAATCTGTCACCTTGACGTGTGAACTAGTATGTGGAATATCAGATTTCCTTCCTAGCATGGCTCATACACTCACTTATGAGGGGTTTGTATTTATGGTCTTGAGAAAAACATGTGTTGGTTGACTGGATTTTTTCCAACTTTGTATAGAAACAGATCTTTAAAAATAATGTGTCAGGTTTTTTTCCCCCCCGTTCCTTTGGGAGCCTGGCTTTAAGTTCAAATCTGGGCTCTGCCCTCTACTATAAGTAAACTAACCTCCCTGAGCCATGATATTTTTCATCTGTAAAATGATGATAATAATCATCCCTGCTCCTTAAGAGTTATTGTCAAGATTAACGTGAGATAAACAATGAAATAGTCAGCATAGTGCCTCTCCAATGGCGGAGTTCTCAGTAAATGTTAGCTATTAATATTATGTCCAGAAGCTAACATTTAAAATACTAAAATATTTGACTGGAGCTATCGTGGCAATTTAAAACTCTTTTAAGAGATAAAAGTTCTGGATTGTAAACTTTATAATACAGTAAACACACCAAATTTCTGCAAAATCCTTTGCTCAAAGAACCTTAATTTACTTTGTCATTGATCCACAAATTTCAAGGACTTTTAAGATCATCTTTCTTGTGAGAAATGCATGAGTGTTACTATAATTTTTGGCAGGTGAGTTTATATGTACTTATTTTTCTTGGAACTAAGGAAGATATTTGGCCACATCTGAAAGCTGGGTGATATAAATACTGCTTGGAAAATAATGTAATGTGAGTGACTTGCTTAATGTCAGACCTGGTAAGCAGTCAAATCCTGTCACTCTTCACTTGATACGCAATTATTTGCTTCTAGATTAGCCCAGAAACAAGAATATAATATTCTGCAGGAGTTTCTCTCTCTTTTTTTTTTTTTAAGTAAATGGAAGTTATCAATGATTTTAACTAGAAATTGTTTATTGTTTTTTGTTTTGTTAGAACTTTGACCTTGATATGTTACATTTTACTTGCGTGAAATACATTTATCATCCTTTTCACAAAGCTATGAATATACTCCTTAATTGACCCAGCTGTAAACTTGGCTGAGGTCATGATTTGGATGGCATTTAGGACCGAATAGAGAATCCTTGTCACCATTTAAAGATTTGAAAATTAGGTGTGTTTACACCCCTGGAAGGAAAAAAAACAATCAGGCACCATCTGTGAGTCCTGAGCACTTGTACCTTCACCTTCCCTAATTAAAACACTGTGCTAGCTGCTTGGCTGAACAGGGGTGTGTTATTAAATTGGCCAACTCATTTGGTCTGAAATGTTATTTAGGGAATCAGTGAATGATTTTAAATGTCCTTGCTTGGGTCTGGGTCACTACACTATGTAGGATGAGCCAAGGATGTATTGAGTATATATTACATGCCAACAATTCAGCATGTTGGAATAGGGTGTTAACTCACGTGGGTTGTGTTGGACAGCTTTGGCAGAGAAAGATTTTAGATCTACTTGTTATGGTGTAGCCTCAGAGACAAACGTGACTTATTTCCTTATTTTACTTTCTTTACTAGTTGAACTAAGCCTCCCTCTTTTAGAGTGAGATTTAATGTGCTTATTGAACTTTATTCTTGCTGTAGATTCTTTTTAGCACTGATTGGTGTGTTCATCATGATTTCATATTCTCTTCAAGCTTGGCATTCACCTCTCAGAGGGTTACTGTGCCAGTGCTATTTAAGGCAAGGCAGGAAGGAATTTCTTCATAATTTCTGACTACCAGGTGATACTGTGGTCTAAAAAAGAAAAAATTACTAAACCATGTTTTGAGACTCGAAGTGCTTTGATACTTTGGAAATAACCATTCGATTTGTACTCAGACACCTGGGTTCAGTTCAGCAAACGTGTATTGGGTGTGCATCATGTGCCGAGCTGTTTGTTAGTCATCATCCTGGGGAAATACAGAGTCAATAGGGGCCTACTTACATGTAGAGAGAAATTACGATATACTATAACCAAAATATGCAGTGAAAGACATATACACAAGGCATAGTGAAAGACATATACACAAGGCATAATGCAGTCCAGATGATTATTTTTATTCAGGATGAGGAAAGAGAGTTGGGTTTTATTGAAGGAGATGAAGACTGAGGATGGTTCAGATGGATAAAGATTGGCGTTTTTAAGAAATTAGGTTTTTATCATCATGTAGCGTTCCAGGCAGAGAGAATATTTTTGAGGAGGCATAAAATGGCACGTAGCAGGTAGCTTGGTATTGCTGGAATAGAAATTGTGGAGGGAGCAAGCGTGGGAGATAAAGGTAGAAAGCGATGCTGGGCCTGTGTCTTACTTAAAGTGTCTGGTATACTGTACTTTGGAGCTTGGAGGTTTTTTCTGATACATAGTAATCAGCTTAAAGCAATTGGAAAGATCTAAGCTACGAGAGTGAAAGGATGGAATTTAGTTAGGTCTCCCTGACAGCAACCTGGAGTTTGGATTGGAAAGGAGTAAAATTGGAAGTAGGAATACTAGTAGGAAGGCTTAAACAAGTTCAGGAGTGGGCCGGCCGAGTGGCGCGTTAGTTAAGAGCTGGCTTAGGACGCCAGCTCTGAGCAGCACACCCCTGTTCGGATCCCACATTAGGGTCAGTGACACTGCCCTCTACAGGTGAGATGGTGAACAGCAGCTTGACCTGGAGCTGGGCTTCCGTGAGTTGCCGGCAACGGTGTAGGCTGCAGCCCCTGCTGCAGTGGGCTGCCTAAGCTACCATGTGTAGCCGGCAGCCAGCGTGAGTGGCCAGCAGCCAACGTGGGCTGCCAAGAGCCGCCTTGAGCGGCCGTCCAGAGGCCGGTGACCAATCTGCCTCACCTGGGAAGAGCGCAATGATAATACTAGCATGGGCCAGTGAAGCAACGTCCTCCACAACTAGACTGAAGAACAAAAGGACAGCAGCTTGTCTATTCCCCTTCCCCAATTCCCCAGCGCTGTTTCCCTGCCCCAATTCCCCAATAAAATTTAAAAAAAAAAAAAGTTTCGGAGTGAGTTTTAATTTAGTAAACTCAGTTAACTGAACTGGGATGAAGAAATATAATGAACAAAGGCATGGCAGGGAATGCAGAAAAGAGGAAGTAACAGAGAGGTGACTGTAATTGAGAGGACCTTGAGATTGACTGGTTAGAAAAAGATGAGCAACAGAGTAGTCTGTGTTTTGGGTTTGACTTAACTGATGCACTCACTGTAAAAAGGAGGCTAAAGAAGATGTAAGCGGATTCGAAGTGTTGGGAAAGATGAGTGCAGTTTTGAGCATGCTGAGTTTGAATACTGGTGATGCATCTAAGTGGAGATGTCAAGCATGCAATTGGATATAAAGATAGGAAGTTCAGTGGAGTGGCCGAGGAAAGCTATAGATTTAGGAATCACCAACATGTAAGGGATGATTGATAAAGGAGAACATTAAGGAGTGAGAAGAGGAGAAGAAAGCCAACAGCGGAACTCTGGGAAACACACCAATAGTTTAAAAGGTATTCTTGAGGAAGTAGATACTGGGAATGAATAGAAAGAAAAGTAGGTTAGAAATAAGGTGTCATAGGAACTGAGGGAAGAAGGACTTTCATGAAGGAGTAGGTGTCAGTAGTGTTCAAAGCCAGAAGTCACATAAGATACTGGTTGTCTTTGGAAATTAGAAGGTCACTTAGAGCAGTTTGGGACAGAGGAGCATTTCCGTTGGGATGGTGATCTGCCACCTACCTTTGCCACTTACTTACTCTGTGACTTGGGAAATCCATTTTACCTTTGGCTTTTTGTCTGTAAAGAGGTGTTTGGCCTCTGACTTGGTTTCCGTCTGTGATCCGTGCAGCCCCCACTGGTTCAGAAAGGGTTCTTTGAGGCCCATCAAGAAGGTCAATGACAAGGTCAGATATTTATAGCAGGGAGGAAGGATGGTTCTGTACTCCTGATTCAAACAAGGTGGCTAGAGCAGCTTGATTTTTTATGGTTTTTTTTTTGTTTGTTTTTTGTTTTTTTTTGTTTTTTTTTTAAAGATTTTTATTGGGGAATTGGGGGAATGGGAACAGTGCTGGGGAATTGGGGGAAGGAGAACAGACAAGTTGCTGTCGTCTTGTTCTTCAATCTAGTTGTGGAGGATGTTGCTTCACTGGCCCAAGTTGGCACCATCTTTGTGCTCTTCTCTGGCGAGGCAGATCAGTCGCCGGCTTCTGGACGGCCGCTCACTGCGGCTGCTGGCCGCTTACGCTGGCTGCTGGCTACACACGGTAGCCCATGGCAACCCACTGCCACAAGGACTGCAGCCTACGCTGTCGCCGGCGACTCATGGCAGCCCAGCTCCAGGTTGAGCTGTTGTTCAGCATCTTAGCTGTGGAGGGCAGTGTCACTGGCCCTCATATGTGGGATCCGAACCGGGGCCCTCTGGCATCCCAAGCGAGTTCTTAACCATCGCGCCACTCGGCCGGCCCGATTTTTTATGTATTTTATATATTTGCCTTTGTATAAGATTTCATTTGAAAAAAACAGTGCAGTATAAAAAATTTGAAAATGACTGGCCTACAGGAGTTATAAGACACCTTCCAGCTTTGAAAGCTATATAATGAATAGCTGGTGTTCAGAATTCCTCTACTAGATGAAGATCATAATAGATGCTGACTGGCTCATGATTTGTATTTTATTCAGAGGTCAACATTAATGTCTGAGTTTATGTAGTAATTAATTACTATTCTTATTCTCATGAGGAATGAAAAACCGAACTTCTAAACAGCTCCATGCTATTTTATACTTTGTTAACAAACTTTGTATGTGTCTTACCAGGTTGTGACTCAGAAGATCTTTTGGAAGAATTAGTCTGCTGTTTGATGCAGTTAATCATTGATATCCCACTCTTGTAAGTACTGGCTAAGCCAGGATTTGTTTTATCTTTGTATATTGAAGATGGTCATTGATCATGTTGAAGAGTTAATGGGTCCTGGTGTAGAACTTTTATGTATGTCTTTCAAAGTCATGGAGTTCTTTTATCTGTCTTGCCTAGTAATATTTAAATTCTGACTAGTCATCATCAAAACAAGAATTTTAAGTTGTTGGGGGGAAAATAATCAAACTCGAGCAATATTAAGCGTATGATATGCACAGAATTAGATTAATCTCTGTAATAAGAGATCCTAAAGATCTCTGTAAACAAGGATTTAAGAGAAAAGCAGTTTGAATCTAGTTCATAGGTAGGAGATACAGCTAGTTGTTCACCCATTGTTTGTTCGCCCCTTCTTTCTTCCTGATTTTATTTCTGGCCATTTTGGGAGAGGTCAGATTTTCATTCCCACCTTTGAAGGTAGTTGTGGTCAATGAGATGTAGGGGGAAGTTCTCCAATGAAATTTCTGAGTAAAGCTCTTTGAGGGAACCTGACTTAGCTAGGAGGCCTATCTTTTTGTTCTTGACAGCCCTCTTTTTTGCTCTCTGGAATGAGGACAAGGTCTTTTGAGCTGTGTGACCATCTTGGCACCATGAGCCAAGAGACTCACAGAAAATTCTGCTTTGATGCCATTGAGCTGCTGAACCAAAGTCATCAACTGGCAGTCTCCCCTCCTCCCCATATCGTCCCCTGGACTTCTCATGTGAGAAAAATAGACCCTTACTTGTTTACGCAACCGAACTGGATTTCTGTCACTGCAACCAAATGCAATTCCGGAACGATTCAAAATGTTTGTAACTTTTAAAGCAGTTACTCTCAACCTTATATTTTTTTTAATTGTCTCTCTGAGGAGCCCCTTTAGACATTTTTTTCTAAATTGCCTGTCCCCACTAATGAAATTTGAATACCCCATGTACACTGAATATGTTTATGTACTGTGGCCCTTGGAGGGCCACAAATCATTATAATATCTACGAAGTTTTTCACCTCGAAGAACCAGTTTTCACCCTCTTGGGGGTGATATCATCCTTGTTAAGAATGCATATTTTAGGGCCGGCCGAGTGGCGCGATGGTTAAGAGCTCGCTTGGGATGCCAGAGGGCCCCGGTTCGGATCCCACATATGAGGGCCAGTGACACTGCCCTCCACAGCTAAGATGCTGAACAACAGCTCAACCTGGAGCTGAGCTGCCATGAGTCGCCGGCGATGGCGTAGGCTGCAGTCCCTGTGGCAGTGGGTTGCCATGGGCTACCGTATATAGCCAGCAGCCAGCGTGAGCGGCCAGCAGCCGCAGTGAGCGGCCGTCCAGAAGCCGGCGACTGATCTGCCTCGCCAGGGAAGAGTGCAATGATGATGCCAACTTGGGCCAGTGAAGCAATGTCCTCCACAATTAGACTGAAGAACAAAAGGACAGCAACTTGTCTGTTCCCCTTTCCCCAATTCCCCAGCACTGTTCCTATCCCCCCAATTACCCAATAAAAATCTTAAAAAAAAATGCATATTTTAAAGGAATTATTTTTTTAAATAAAGAAGTAGATTTTTATCATCATAGAATCTCAGTCTACATGGGGGTGTTGTTGGAAATGTGCTATTTGCCTGTGGTCGAAAAAGGAAAGACAGGAATTTATGAGAAAATGGGCACCTGGCCTCTGTTGTGCATAAGTGCAGCGTCCAGAATTATAATATAGGTTTAGAAATGAGAACCACAAAACCCTGTTGTTATTTGGACTATGTGCAGCCTAGAAGGTAGAACTGAGACAGCTGAGGAATCACCTAACATAGAAGGGCACAGGAGACACTGTCCCATGTAACTTGAACTCTTCTGACAGGCACAGCTTTTAGCGTGCCCTACATCCTTTCTCACCCTCCTTTCTAGCAGATCTCCAGTATTGTTTGGGAGAGCCAATATGTGCCCAGCTTAGTTTTCAGGGAACTTGGGAACTAAATGTGCCTGGAGTGTGGCCCTGTGGTGTAGTTTGGGCCAATTATATGTAAGCAGAAGTCGTCCATATGTACCTTCAGCGTTTTGCTCTTTGTCCTCTTCCTTCCTGGAATGTGGAGGCAACACATAGGCCATCTTAAAACTAGGATGATGAGTGCTGCATGCAAAGAATAGTGTCCCAGGAGCATGGGATATCGATGACATTGTGGGACTGGTACAGCAGCCCCAGATTGCTTATCTTTGGATTTCTTCTTACTTGAAAAAAATTAACCCTTATTTTAGTTAAGCCACCGTGGCTCAGTTTCTGTTACATATGGTCAAAAGCGGCAGGGGAACACATATGTTGTTTGCTAGTTACTTGTCATAGCATGTATGATACTTCATGTGTTTCTGATTTAATTTTAAAAATAGCACCACTTCCATTGTGTTGTGTCCTTACAAACACCAGCAATTTAGTATATTTCCTAAATGAGTACTTTTTTTTCCCTTTGTTGATAAAATGTCCTAGTGGATTTAAGGGGGATTGAAATTATAAATCCCTTTAGCTAGTAAATAAGCCATGAGTACAATGACTAGACCAGCCACTAAACACTCTTGGGGAGCAGGCAGACAGTGTTGTAATATATCAGACATTTCAGTGTTTTAATGTGTTTATACTTTTTAAATGAACTGAAAATGCACAGACAACCAGATGTCTTGTATTATGTACACTCAGCTTTAACCAGCTGCTGAAACAATTTCTTATGATTTAATATTCTTGGAAGCCCATCCTGCAAGGTTTGTCTTGGTAACCGTTTCTATGTGAAACCAAACTACTCTTTCAGTGTTTCATCTACTGTAACTGTAGTGCAGTGTTATGGATCAGCTTATAATTTAAGGAGGGGTATTAACATATGGAAACCGGGGTGCTCTCACACCTGGGTGTCATCAGTCTCGCTGTAAACTTTCATATTAACATTGGCATGCCAGTGCTGCATTAGCAGGTGAATAGCAAGGGGAATCTAATTTGAATGGCCACCCAAGGTAATTCCAAAGTAGCTTAAACATTTCTTATGAGACTGCAAAATCATTCTGTTAATGTTGAGAGAAAGTGATTACCGAGAACATATAGATATTTAGAGATCTCTGAACTAAGTTTTAAATGATACTTTATTATTAAGAGAACAGGATCACTGCAGTAGTTTAGATAAACTCCCAGAATTTATAGGAATTATTTGTAATGAAAATTGACTTTGAAGTAGTTAGTGGATACTGCTTCTCAGTTCGGATTGCTTGATAACAATGTTAAATCTCTGAGGTGTTAATTTTCAGTCATATTAAAAATGAACATCTTCCAGGAATCCTTCCTTAACTCCATACCTCTCAGCATTTTTATATTTATTTTTTTATTATTCTTTTTATTTATTTATTTATTTGTTATTAGTTTCAGGTGTACAATAGTTACACAATTAGTAACAGTGCAATAGTTACACTTTCACCCCTCACAAAGTGACAGCCCCTTCCTCAATCCACCGCCCCCCCCGCCCGATATCATACATACCGTATTTGCCGGTGTATAAGACGACTGGGCGTATAAGACGACCCCCTAACATTTCCACTCAAAATACAGAGTTTGTTATATACTCGCCGTATAAGACTACCCCCTCTTCCGCACACCTTCCACACACCAAATAAAAGGTAAAACAATATCAGATTTGATTTGGCCCACTGAAGTGCAAACAAGCGTATTGTATTTCGTGTCACCACATAACCGTTTTGGCGATGTTGAGCCACCATGTCTGCTACATGTTTTTCGAGTTCTGGCCAGTGTGGGGTGCCTCTTCTTAATGCACACTTACCCCTTGGCATACTCTTTAATGCTTTCTCATTTGATTTCCAGTCCCGAACCATCTTTTCTGTTACTCCATATTGTCTTGCAGTACCACAATTATTATTTTCCTTAGCAAAGTTTATAACTTTCAGTTTAAAATTTGCATCATACTTCTTTCTTTTGGCTGGTGCCATGATAGGGATGATAGGGGTTTGACTGGTCGACATTTTCTATGCTGTACTGTACAATGGTGCAGTATTGTGGTTGGCTGTTGGCTGTATACAAAGCCTGATTTGATTGGTCCCTGCTCCCTGTTTGCCCGCCCTGTCACTATAGCAGTCTGGTCCACCCTTGCATCAGCATCTCCCTGGGACCTCACTAGTGCGCAAGTGTGAGCTCTTCAACATTCTAACAGGCACCATGATAGTGCAAAATCGCGAATCTTCAATGCATATGTAAAGAAATATACGGTAACCCGAATTTACCACACTCGCAAAATCGCACACAGCCGACCATACACCCAGTATGGTATCGCGATTCGCGATTTTGCGCTATCATACTGGGTGTATGGTCGGCTGTGTGCGATTTTGCGAGTGTGGTAAAATCGCATAACAGCAAAATCGCATAACAGCCGAGCATACACCCAGCAGTGCTGCTGATGCCTGAACGGTATGTGGAATGAAGTGGGTGGGCATCGGGAGGCCACTGTGGCACGGGGCAAGCACTATGGGCAGTCTATCTGAAGTGTACCTGGCGTATAAGACGACCCCCTACTTGGAGGCATATTTTTCAGGGCCAAAAAATCGTCTTATACGCCGGCAAATACGGTATGTATTACAATTCCATTGACTTCATTCTCCACATTATACTCCACATCTCCTGACTATATATATATACTATAGTTGACGTACAATATTATTCAACTTCAGCTTCAGGTGTACAGTGCAGTGGTCAGGCCTCTACACCGTCCATGAAGTGGTCTCCCTAACAAGACATGAGTCCATCTGACACCCTACAAAATATTTACAACATTATTAGTTATATTCCGCAAACTGTCTTTCATATCCCTGTGGCAATATTGTAGTTACCAATTTATCAGCATTTATATATTTAAAATAAAGATTAAGTCATGCATGGGCTCATGACTTGACATTTTTCAGTGTATATTAGGTTGATCCAACAAGAACTGAAATGTTTTCCAAAAGTAAAGCCTTGTTTTTAATTAAT